ATGGGAGAAGGAAGGGCTGCTTATGCACAGGGAGACAGCTCAGGGGACAGGAGTGTATGGAGGGATGGACACTGGGAAGAGGTAACTATGGGGAGGAAGTGGGAGGGGAGCTGTTGCATTGTGGTAAACTATGTTCAATGACATGAGACAAAGTATATGTGAACTGCTGTATGGAAAGTGAATTTGTTCTGTAAATCTTCACCCAAATCACAATTAAAAAAAAAAGTTTGCAAGAGGCCACCTAAAACAACTACAGTTTCTACTCACCAGGAGCAAAACAGTAAGAAGGTAACCAAAGCTTAGAAAAGAAGTCTACATGAGCCACAACCCATCTACCCTGAGACTCTAAGAACTAGATGGTGCCAGGCTACCACCACTGACCATTCTGACCACGGCCAGGTAGTATGGGAGAAAAATATGGAAAGCTCAAATTCTTATTTATTTAAAAAAAAAAAAAAAAAGCCACACAAACTGCAACAATAGGGAACAGAGGATTTCCTAGATTATCGCCCTGTGACACTCTTTAAACCTAGAACGAAGGCTATCCCGAGATCACCTTTTAGCAAAATAGCAGGATAGCATACAAAATTAAGGATATAACCTGAAAGATTGGTGCCCTACTTAAAAACTGTCAGTATGAGACCAAAAGGTCAACAATTAGACAAAAGCAAAGAAGAGAAGATAAAGGGGCAGAGGAACTAGTGTACTGGAAATGGAACAAACAGAACACAATTAAAGAGAACACTGACACATGGTAATAAAATGTAACTAATGTCACTGAACAATTTGTGTAGAAACTGTCAAATGGAAACCTAACTAGCTGGGTAAACTTTCACCAGAAAAGCAATAAAATACTACTTAAAAAAAAAAAAAAAGTGGAAGAAATACAGCCAAAGGCCCATTTTACTTAGATAGCTTACTAACTAGCCACAAGCAGGGAAAATTTAGTAATAATCTTCATGGCTGGATTTCTTATCATTCAACTGGAGCTTGGCTCATACATTGCCAGAGACCTGTGAGGAATATGGAGTTGGCCACTGAAGAAAAACAATCCTTCAACTGGGACTAACACAATTCTCATACATGGTTCCCTAACTCAAAGCCAAGCATCCCTTCCCACAGAAATTCTAAGGTAAAGAGAGGCAGTATACCTTTACCTTGTGCAATCACATAATTCATTAATAAACAATAAATGGAATCATTGCCAATGTCATTAGAAGTGGTATTTCTTCTCTAAGGAATTAACATTTAAGTAAGCTTTAAATTCCATTTTACATTTATAATGTTCACAAAATAAGGAAATTTCAAAGAACTAGAGGTTTGAATATTGACAACTATAGAAGCAACATTTGCTTCATTTACAGTTTTTATTTCGTTTTGTTTTTAACTATAAAGACCATGTTCTCTGGTAAAATAGTACAGCACATTAAATAATGTAAATCATAAGAGAAGTAGGAAGTTATAGTCTGCCCTTTTATCTTCCTCACACTCTTAACCAAATTATTTGTTTCTATTTATTATGCATTTAAAATAAACCTCATTCACTATGTTCTAATAAAAGACAAAACTGAGTTGCCATTTTTAATAGTACTTATAAGTAAAATATTTTGGGGAACTACATACACTTATACATTCTTAAGCTTTGATAACTTTAATCATCTAACAAATTACAATTTTTTAAAAAATACATACGTTCTTTCTTGATTTTTTCAGCTACTAAAAATTCATCTCTTTCAACCGTGGGGGCAAAGTTGCTGCCAATAACTCGTACAGCATACTGGAACTGTTGGGCTGCGTCAGCTGAAATAAAACAGTATGATTTAAGAGCTCTCACAAAATTACAGTAAACAAAAGGATCAAAATTATTACCTATGAAGATAAGTTTAAATTACTTGAAGCTTCTAGTTTAAAACAGTGCACTAAGCACATAAATCTACCTTTCCATCTTGCAAGATCATCACTATAAACCCCACTTCCATTGAGTTGATTCCAACTCATAGTGACCCTACAACACAGAGCAGAAATGCCTCATAGGGTTTCCAAGGCTGTGACTTTTGTGAAAGCACATTGCCATGTCTTTCTCCCATGGAGCAGCTGGGGGATTCACACTGCTGACCTTCTGGTTAGCAGCCAAGCACTTAACCACTGTGCTACCAAGTCTCCTCCAAAAGGACAGAAAAGCTATTTTTAAATGAATGAATAAAAGTTCTATAAGTTAACAAAGGGATACAGTGAAAACAGAAAGTATAAAGAAATCCTAGAAGATAGAAAACAAATTGGACTGATAAACAGAGAAAAGAGAGCCGGGAAACTCATAGTCCAAAACATGATACATGAGATTAACCCTCTTAAAAGGGCCTCTGAGAAGTTCTAAGATTAAAGTCAATAAATACAAAAAAATAAAAGTGGGCCATGGAGAAATCAAAAAGGGAATTAACTTATAAACTCATATTTATAAGTTACTAAATAGACTAAATGGCGGCTTAAACACGGATGTTTGCCTCCACGCCCTTCAAAACTCTCATTAAATTGAAAATACTAGTTGCCATTGAATCAATTCAACTCCTAGTGATCCCATGTATGTCACAATAGAACTGTTCTCCATAGGGTTTTCAACAGCTGATTTTTCAGAAGCAAATTTCTAGGACTGTATCCAAGATGCTTCTGGTTAGACACAAATCTCCAACCTTTCAGAGTTAGAAGCTGAGCACATTAACCATTTGCACCACCAAAGGACTCCTAAATTAAAGAGTTTAAAAATATATATGGCATAAACCTAAAGGAATAAAGAAAACAATGTAAAGCAACAGCAAAGAGAAGTGAGCAAAATGTTAGAAAAAGGAAAGCAGATGAATGAGTGGTAGCTGATTTAAGAGGACCGTGAAAACTAAAAGCTAAATGCTTTTGTATTTTTTAGTACTGGGGGTAGTTTTTTTCTTCTAATATTTATCCACATTCTTCAAATTTTCAAGGAGGTCTGGTGGCACAGTGGTTAAATACTCAGTTTCTAACTGAAAGGCTGGTGGTTCAAACTGAACAGGCACTGTAGGGAAGAAAGATGAGGCAGTCTGTTTCCATAAAGATTATAGCCTTGGAAGCCCTATGGGGCAATTCCACCCTGTTTATAGAGCTGTTCTGAGTCTGAATCTACTCAAAAGCAGTGAGTTTGGCTTGGTGTTCCAAATTTTCTACACTGCATATACATTAATCTTACAAACACTTTAAAAAGTGTAATCTATGATTACTGCTCACTTAAGATGGTTGCCTATATAACTATTCTAATTTTAAATTATTTTTAGGTTACCATAATCCTGAGTTCTACAAAAATAGTGTATTAACAACATATTCAAGTATATCATACAAATATCCCCACTCCAAAAATTTCATAAACTTTTGAATTTTCTCCTACCAGATTTTAAATTCCCTAGTACCACAAACCCAAGAGTACTCTCCTCTTCCTTTATCTCCACACTTTCCCTAGACTTTTAGTGTAAATATCACTTCATTCTCACCTCTTCATCCACATCTACATCTTCTTAATTGGATACCAACCCAATTTCTAGACCCTTTCTTGCCAATTACAAAATACTTGAAAAATCTATCTACTCTTTCTTAAATCAAATTTACCTATCTTATGTTTCAAAGGTAAAAGCCAAGAATTCAGACTAGTAAAGAAATCAACAGTGGAAATTACTCTCTTTGGTGAGCATACCATCAAAGATTAAAATTGCAAATATCAAACAATGTCAACTACAAATTCTGGTTTAAATATTCCAAAATACTGTTCACTTTTTAAAATAAACTCAATCACTAACTCAAGAAGTAATTCTTAAGCACCTACTATGTGCTAAACAGAGTTAGGTCCTAAGAATATACTATACAGCACTTAACAAAACAAGGCTCTGAACTCATGAACTTAATGACAAGACAAGTAAGCAAACAACTATACAAGGTAATTAGTGATAGGAGCTATGAAGAAAAGAAGCAGGATGCTATGATAGCAAATAACAGGGAAGACTTCCTGAAATAGGTTGATTAAGGAAGGCCTCCCCAAGGAAGTAACCACTACATAGGAGCCTGTCAGGTAGAAAGCCAAAGAAACAGGTGGGAAAAAAAACAGTGACATTCAGAGGGCTATTTTGTAACCTGTTCCTCAAAGGAAGCCAATGCCATTAGATACCAAACTGTAACTTAGTCGAAGTAGTTCCATCAAGGATCTCAGATGATGGGATCCAGGTTACAGGTTAATCCAAGACTAAAAATTAGAATATTTAGGCAACAGTTTTCAACTTCTTTAACAAAGAATGTATTGCATTCTAATCTGCTTTAGTATGTTAAGGATAAGCAGTTATCAGGAGCCTGGAAAAAGGAGTTAACATTTCTCTGGCCTATTGTTAAGGAGCCCTGATGGTGCACTGATTAAATGCTCAGCTGCCAACCCAAAATCGGCAATATGAACCCACTACCCCAGATACTGGAAGCTCTGGTAGCATAGTGCCTAAGGCACTTGACTGCTAACCAGAAGGCTGGCGGTTCAAACCCACCAGCCACTCCTCGGAAGGAAGATGGGGCAATCCT